GAGTAATCATTTGAGAGAGAGACGGAGTGGAGGTTTTTCTGAGTAATTTAATGATGGAAGAATACTGGTATTTAGATAAGGTATTTTCTCCCTTAAGCGCATCAGGTGAAAATTATGAGGATTTTATGTAGAAGGCCAAAAAGCCAGATTTTTTCCTTCTCAAGCGCCGTAGGCAAAAATTTTTAGAATTTTGAAGACGGTAGGTGAAATATCCTCGGATCCGCTGACGCATAGCTCTGATTGAATTCTCGGAAGGAAATAGCCTGTATTAAATATTAAACTGATATTAAACAACTTTAATCTCTGGAATTCCCCCGGTATCATTCTTAATAATCTACCAAATCACCTACACCACCTCCATTTATTTTAAAAAATTTCCATCATTAGGGGTGTATAATTTTGGCGTTATGGCGCTCCAAAAGACGAAAATCACGCCAATCACCAAAAATCGGCCAAAAATGGACGCCAAACTCCATGACGTTCAGCCCTGATTTGGGCTAATTTGTAATTTTCCTTTTGAATTCTCGTAAGGAATAGCCTTCTGAACGTTCTGAATAAAAATTTAATTATTTTATTGACTAATTGGATGTCAAAAGGAAATAGTGTGGAGTTGAGGAAGGGAGTTTAAACGTTTTAAGAAAAGGAAGGGAATGTACGAAATTGAATATTAGCTAAAATTTATTTAAACCAGCTAATTAAACACAAAAAATACCCAAATTAAACGAAAATTAATTCTATTATCGCTAATCAATAGGAGTTTTGAAAGTCATAGCTTTGATGTTAAAGCTTTTTTAGAAAAGAAAAAAAATTCTTTTAGGATTGATTTTTGAATTTAAAAAATTTTTGAGTTTTACTCACAGTTTTTCATTAAGAACCTGGGCCCGTACAATAGAATCAGGGTTAAATGACCGGGTTAAATAACCCGCGGTTAAATAACCCCCAACCCCGGGTTAAATCCGCACAATTCCTTCAAATTTCAAATTTTAAGGATTTTTATAAGTTCAGCTTTTTTACCCGATTACCCTGCTCCCCTATAGGGTTGTCATTTTACCGGAGCTGCATTTTACTCGGACTCTGTTTACCACGAATTGGTGTCTTTATTTTTGTCTTTATCAGAAGAGAAGTCGTCGAGTCAACTCAAATCTCGAGTCGAATCGAATGACATATGTCATGTCCCGAACTTTTAAACCGGTACGCTACACCACAGCCATATCTCGTATTTCGTGAAAATCTCGTATTTTTTGAGAGATCTAGTATCTCATTTATCTCGTTCTCGTATTTTTTTGGGAATCTCTTGTTCGTACTTTGTTGCATGAAAAGCATCCGTGGTGTATATGTAACATTGAAATATTCCTTTCTAAATTATAAATTTTTTGAAGCAATGGAGAATTTAAAATGATTCATACCTAGTTGTTAGCATTAATCAAAAAATTAGTTTTAAATTAATTAAAACCGTTTAAAAAGCATTTCCAATTAAATTATTAATTTTTTTCTAAAATAAACCAATCATTTCTAAATATGAATTTCTGTTTTATTTTGATTAATTGTTTAATTATTTTATTTATTTCGAATGCTGAGAAAGTTAGTATCAAGTTCGATATGCAATTTAAGTGTGGCAATGGGCCACGGCCTGATGGGCGACTAATTTTTCGTGTTAGACAAGGAGAAGTCTTAAAAACTGCAAGAGTAATTATTTAAAAAATTTACAAATTAATATACTTTATATGTTTGTTATGGATTAGATTCCATATAGGATTGTCCAATATCACGTTTCAAAATCAGTTTTTGTGATTTTGGAGATTGGATGGATTCTGAGACGATCCTTTCTCGTTCGACATCGATTCAGTTAGGGAGTACAGGACTGTGATTTTAACGACCTCCAGTCAAAGATTAAGATTATTTTAAGGATAAAGATTATCTAAACAGAATTTAATAGTTACGTTTGTGTTTCTTTTTTCTCCCCAATATTTCCACATTCTTGCCCTTAGAGAATGTTATTATTTTTTAGGCTTTAAGGACCTATGTTAAAGGTTTTCGCAAGCAGATCAATATGGGTTCTTATTTCTAACGGGAATCTAGATCAGTAACTTTAACGGTTCGCCTTAAACCAACTGACTTGAACCCTAAAATGTTCGAAAACAACATAAAAATAACCATTCCTTAAGGAAACTTTCCTTATACTTCCTTTCCTTAATACCACTGAGCTACCGGGGCATCGACTAATGCTTTCTCTTTTTCCGTATTAGATCGTTTAAAAAATGCTGCTAGGTGAATCATCCTTAATATCCCTTTACAACTATCAATATCCCTTTAATCCCTTTACAACGACACGTACATTTTACTTATAATTAACATTTATTTTTTAGTTTATTACTATTCTTGATGTATTAGTCGTGAATGGTACATTTAAAAAAGAATTAGTCATAGACGACATTTGCCGTCAGATACATTCGTTTGAAGCTAACTTTCGTACAAATTGCTATGTATTAAATAAACTCTATGAAGTAAAATAATTTTAAAATAAAACTGGAGGCAAAACCACCCACAGATCAGAATAGGGAGCGGGGAGGGGTGGCGAAAGTCCATCCCAGAAAATAGCAAACACGAGATTGACGAGATACGAGATCTCTAAAAAACACGAAATTTCACTAGATACGAGATACGAAATGAGCGACACCCTTGTTGTTTTATGGGTACAGCAGTGTCCTAAAATAAATAAGCCAGCAAATATCTGTTAGTTTTTGAGTTTATTTTGGCTCTAATTTCTTAAAAAATTTTCAATTTTTTTAAACGCTAGGTGGATCACTTTAAAATATTTTACATCACTTTAAAACATCACTTTAGAATATTTTATTTGATCTTTTAATAATTCACAGTGCTGCGCTCATGATTTTAAATTTGTTGGATGCTATTCCATTAGGGGTGGTAAGGTATGTGACGATGTGCTAACGGAGAAGGAGGTTGTCTGACCACAAATACATGGATTTCATCAGATTATGTGGGAAGAGACGTAAATCTAAAATTTTCTACTCAAGATCCATTGAAAAAAGTAAATGTCATTGATTTAATGGATGTGTTGGCTAAAGCAAATGAATATCAAAAGTTTTTTATGATGAAAAGGTGTAATGACTATAGTTCATTTCAATCATCACGAAGCTGTTTGAAAAAGAATAAGAAAACGAGATTACCACCTTCTTGTGGAGGACTTTTGGGGGTAATAAGAAATTTAATTTCTGGCAGTAAGAAAATCGTGTACACCCAACTTACCGCGAGCCCAACTTACCGCAGAACTATAAGTTCGTTCAAAATGGTCGAATCTGGGACGCCCTGGTATGGTTCGATTCAGCTCCCCGAGGCGCATCGAACCATGCCAGGGCGTCCCGGATTCGACAATTCTAAACGAAGTTATAGTTCTGCGGTAAGTTGAGGTTGCGGTAAGTTGGCATGTTCCCGAGGAAACCCATGAGTATTTATAAAATTCATATTACTGTAGTCTTAACAATTTTAAAGGAAAAAAAGTAGTAAACAGAAGAAATGAAATATAGGGGAGATAATCGGATATTACTTAAAAATTTCCAATTTTATGGTTTTAGGCAATAAATAATTAATACATGAAATTAACTATATAATTGGTATGGGTTAGGATAATCCTGAAAAAATCGGTTGGACAGTTCGGGTATTTAATCTAGGTATTTTACTTAAATTAAAATCATCACATAATTATTTTCAAAGTTTCTATGTGCTAATGATATATTTGATCACATGGATGTATGCGACCATCCCCGGTATGGATTAGTTAAAGAAAAAGTTCAAGACTGCAAAACACCTTGAAACACCATTTAATTTTAACGCAAAATTATTTTTTGTGATTAAGAATTATATTTTTAATAAAAATATTAATTAAATATCTAAATATTTATTCGATTGTTTTACTTTTGGATTTTTATTAACCTATATTCTCTTACTTTTACGTTGTTTTTGTAACAAGTTTTGGATGAGTTACCAACATTGTGCTTTTCGATCATGTTTAATTTTCGACCTTATACACTGTAGAAAATGATAAGCACCCCTTAGTGCTTATCATCACACTAAGGGGTGCTTATCATTATCTGACAGAGTGTACCGTTTCTGTAGTGTCCGTCGCGGAAATTAATAAGGAACCCAGCCTTAAATTCGTAGCAATCCCATTGAGATATCAAAATATATACTATATAGCGTGGAGATGAATGAAGCATAGAATCGAAACTATTCAAAAATGGATAACTAAGTCTATAAACTAATTAATCTACATTTGTTCAAATCTTTTATTAGTTTCAAACAATCACTTTTACTAACATTTTAATTTATGTAATTTTTTATATTCTTGTATATATTCAGTACTACTCGAAAACGTCTTCTGAAATAAACTGATAATTTTTGGTTTTCCAAGTTCACAATTTTCATTTTTCTCCAACTAAAAAACTATGTTTTTATTTAAAATCTAAACAAACATCGCCTTCTCGAAAATGAAAATATTCATGATTAAAAAGAGAAATATTTGCTTTTTCCGCTATTATTCCAGCATAAAGGGTATCTTCAACGTGAATCCCATAAACTTCTCTTGTGTGTCTCATAACTGATGTAATTGTTTTGCTATTTGCAAAATATGCAGCTCCGCGCATATATTTTGGATAAAATTTGTTTGGATATTCCTTCTCGGATACATACCTTAAATAATTTAATAAGCTCATGAATAATATATACCTATGAATACTCTTTGTTTAGATTTGCTTAAATTTGATTTCGTGTATAACATCATTCGTCTAAGAGGTTTGGCTCAACCCCGTTCATCTGACTATTTGGGATTGAGGTTTAAAAGCTATGTATTATCAAAATTCATACTCTTACTTTGGCGAAGTACGAGTATGAGGAAAAAATAGGAGTAGTACGCTAAAATAGGGGTAACACTGAGTAAAGCAGCTTGGCTATAGCTATTTCTCTCCTTCAGCTAGTGCAAAAGGTTAATCGGCGCTAGGATACCAAACGAATCTGACTATTAAAATCTGACTATTAAATGTCCAAATCATTATTATTACATACCATTTACTGCTCTTTTCCCTTATTGTAGGTGTTTCGCCCACTAAATATCCAAAAAATGCTAGGCCATTTTTTGTTTCCGTCAGTTGTTTTTTGAATTTGTGTTCATTCCAGAAAGCCCAACGAGGCAAATCAATGATTACATCATCATCAATTTTCATTACATATTCTGCATTGCGACACCATTTTTGTTGCCATTGAAAAGCAGCACCTGTCTAATGTTATTGTTTCGATTAGCAAATTTCGATAATAACAAGCAATCCCAGAACCGATTTCTGTTGGATTTCCTTATCTTGAGTGTCTAGTTTTTGAAGCTTACAATGGCACTAATGTTATGTTGACAATTAATGTAATTATACAAATTTCAATTTATTTACCCATTTCACTTTAATGAAAAAATACTTTAAACTGCAAAAAATGGTAGCCTTCCATTATATTATAGTAACGAATCAAATCACCAAATTGTTCTTGTTCTTCATCCAATATTTTATTCAATTTCTCGCCATTCTCCTCTTTTTCAGCTGGATCGCCAATCACATAGCGGATTATCATCTTTTCATTCTTAAATTTTATTTTATATAAAGCTAATATGTATTGTGTTTCTATTTAAAATTAGCCAAAATTTAAAAAATTTCTCAAAAAATTTCAACATTAGGCAACAATTATTATATTATACATAATGGAATTTATAGAAGGAATTTATAGAACTAGTCTTTATTGGTTTCATAAAAATTCCTTGGTGAATGGTGTCCTAGGATTAAATTAATGTTAAATCTTATCTACCGCATCTTTTGCCCAACTATTCCTAATTCCAATGCGCTTGTGAAACGATTCCCTTCTTGAAATAACCAACACAACAAGCTCTATTTGTTTTCCAATACAAGGATCAATCCTTGGCTTTTCCATTTTATAATGTTTTTGAACATTAGAGAAAGCCAATGTAAAATTAAGAAAATTTTTTTCTTTTATAAATATCTGATGTAATTTATGTGGTTTAGGTAATGATATATTATTAAATTCTAAAAGAAACAATACAGAAGCAATACAAACTGATGCAAATATAAAGCGATGGAAAAGATTCCTTCAATAATAAAAATTAAAAACTGCATTAATTACCCTGGGTAATTATTGTTTCGATCTTTCGCTGGAGGGTTAATAAATAGAGGTTATTTTAGAAAGGCTTATTATAATTATTTTTAAAAGAGTAATTATTGTTTCGCCTTTCGCGGGAGAGGGTAACTAATACAGGCGGAGTAATTATGAATTTTTAATAGAATTCCCTATTCTTTGGCCCTAAAAACTTGGACTCTCTAGAGTTTACAAATAATATTAGAATTTATTGATGGTGAAATTAATAATTTTATTTCCAAGATTTATATTATTTAGCACATAATTTGGGTTTTTAGAGATTTAACAATATTGTATTTTATTAATTTAATAAGACATACCTTAAAATTTTGATTTTAACACTAATCCTTGGAAATGTCATTATTTGATCGAGTAATAAAAAAAGATTTATATTCCATTGCTTTATTAATTTATTTTTAGAAAATAATAACAAAAATAGATGATTTGTTATATTTTTTTAATTTTTTAAATATAATAAATATTGTTTGTTAAATACCTTGTAAATTTTTCTCATGATGATTGACACGTATATTTAAATTAAAAAGAATGCAAACAATATTCTATTATTCTCCAATTTAGTCTAAAAATAAACATATCACTACAAAAACAAAAAAATTTCCTGTAATTTCATGAAATATTGTGATGTAAACGAGGAAATGAAATTATGCAATTAATTAAAAAATTAAATATTCAACAGAAATGCAGTCAAAAACTATATAGATATTTAATAATTAGACTTGACTCGATCAAACTCATTATTATGGGTGGAAAAAGAAATTTTTGAGAAAAAAATCATACACGGAATTCTAAATTTCCGACTTCCGGGAAAAGGAAGTCGGGAATTGGTTTATTATACAAATAGATTATTATACCATAAGGGTGTATAATAACATTTTAATTATATTTCATTTATTACTTTTCTCTTTTATAAAAACCAAAAGCAAATCGAACAGGACTTCTAAATCATTTCTTATTAAGATAAATTTTTATTTCTGTTGAAAGTGGCATTGAAGACAATTTTTATATTGGGCTATTGTGGAGGTTCTAGCTGGTATCGGCGCCATATTTTTCGAATAGATTATTTTGTTTTCAGTTTAGTTTTTAATTATCATTTAATTCATAATTTTTATTTACGTACACGTCAAATTAAAAAACAAAAATTTATAATGTAAAAATAAAATTTTTTTCGTAAGTTACAAATTAATTCTTGGAATTCATTTAATAATATGTAAACTTCACATGAATTTTAATCTAAATCATTATGTAATTTCGGATATACTTTTATAATACATGCATTTTATAATATAATACTTTAGATAATCATATATAATTCATATAGTTTCATTTAAATAAATTTTTTTTAAATGAAGAATTTTGAAGAGTTCACAAGATTTAAATTTGTATTTTATGTTTTCACAGGTTTAATACATATTTTATATTTTTAAAAAAAGGATGGGAGTAAACATTTAATAAAAAGTTTAAGAATTTTGTTTGATAATTTTTAGCTATTACATATAGCGATTAAAATACTTATTATTTGAATTTATTTTTTTGTAATACATATTCGATACCTTTAAATTAAACATGTATTTTAGTATATTTTAGTTTATCAAATATTAATTAACATTATAATATTTGTTAGCTTTCCCATCTTCTAGACAAATTGTGCATTCGTTTGCTTCTAGTGTTAATGAAATTTTAAATTCTAAAATTGCCGTTAAAAAGTGTTATCTATTTCTATCACAATTATTTTTAAATAATTTTTTCCATATCTGACAATTTCTTGTGGAAAAATCATCGCCAGATGCAATTTTATTGAAATTGAATTTTTCGCTAAAAATTTATATGTAGTTTATATAGCATTATTATATTTCACTTCTTTAATTGATGAATGAATTATGAATTTAAAAGATCATCATCAGTAATTAAAAGATCATCATCAGTAATCCATAATGATAAAAAAATTAAAATATTCATTTAATTTAATTTTAATCTTATTGAGTAAATCACAAGTGTAATCTTTTACCTTGTGATTTACTCAATAAAATTAAAATTAAATTAAATGAATATTTTAATTTTTTTATCATTATGGATTACTGATGATGATCTTTTAAAATAAATAATTAACATAATTGGCAGATCAAAATTTATGCTTAACATTTACTAAATTTTTCTGTAAAATTTGTATTTTTTTGCTATTTTACAAATTAAAATAATACTCTGTATTCTAATAATCAAAAGAAATTATATAAAATATGGAAGTTAATTGTAAAATATTGTTTAGATTTAAATTTCATCAAGAATTACTATTAACTTAAAATAAAGTAATTGCAAAATTTCTTGTATTTTTTATAAAATTATTTAAATTTCAAATATTAAAATCTCAAAGATTATTTAGCATAGCACATTTATACATAATTAATTTTTTCAAATTAAAGTTTTCATATTTAATGTTTATGTTCCTTTAAGTCAAAAATATTGTGAAATGTAGCTAAAATTTCTAATATCTTTATTATTCCGGTACAACTGGTATTACAATTCGGTTGCTATTAAATTAACAACTCATATACATATTATATGATGTCTATTTTTTGTCAAAAATTATTAAAAAACGATAAAATTTTGTTTAATAAATTTTTTATTTGATTAAATTTTGATCCGATATTATTTTAATTATACATATTTTAATGTAATTTGTATATCAAATAAAAATTTGAATATTTTATGTGAATACTTCTTTCTTTTGAGCTCAAGTTACATATGTTCTTCTTGCTTAATATGACAATATTTTTTATTTTATTGTAAATATTATTTATTCCTATTTCAGAGTTTTTTTGTATAAAAGCAAAATGCAAATCTAATTTGCTCATAATTTTTATCAATATAAATCATGGTTTCTATTAAGAATAGCGTTGTATATTTTTGAAACTGATAACTTTTTGATTAATCTTTTCAATAAAATTAAAAATTATAAAAGAAATGCAAATTCCACCAACCTTCTTCCAGTATTTGAATTAAAATAATTTATTGTAAATATTATTATTTATTTATTGTTTCTAATCTTCATTTGTTTAATATAAAAATTCAATGAGTTATGAAAAATAAATATCAAAATGTAAATATTCTTTTTAATCATCCAATTCTATATTTGAAAATTGCATAAATATTAATTTTTGTTTTCTAAAAATATTATTTTATTAGTTTTTTGACTGAATATTTTTTGCCATTATTTTAGCATCTGTTTTTAATTTATTAGTAAAAATATTCAATAATAGTAGAATTACATTCTTCTACGATATGATACATAAAATAGTAATTGTAATTTAAAAAATAAAATTAAAATTATTCTATAAATGGATTTTTAAAATTACCAAACACCAACACAACAGTCCAATCTCAAAAATTATATTATATCACAATCCAACAAAAACATATAAATCACAAAAGACATAGAATGTCGAAGAATTTCTAGAAATAAAAAAAATAATAATTTTTAATAATTTGATAAATTTTACTAATTTTGAATTAGAAAGTTGATTCTTGAAGACGGTTAAAAGGAGTATTAAAGAATAACCACTGGGCTGGGCTGTTATGATGGAACTAGGATGCAATGCAGCATATTTTTTAACTTAAATTTAATTAGCATTTGAAAACAGATTTGGTCATGAATACAAATAATATGCGGATACTTTCGGATATATCCGGATATGGTCGAATATGGTTGTTTAGTTAAAAATCGAATAGGTACGGATAATAAAGATAGGAACCTTCAAATCTGCGGATATTCAGACCAACTTCGCGATTGAGAAAAGTAGCGCTGGAAAAGGAAATCTGGATCTTGGTACAGTAATAGTTATCTAACTACAGTGATAGTTATATTTTCTAAAATTACTATTTTTTTGGTTTTTTAAACTGAATATTGTTACCGTTATTTTAAAAATATTTTTTAATTTATTAATAAGGAAACATCCATAAATAGAAAAATTTTGTTTTAATGATATTGTAAATAAAATAATAATTGGTTGCCTAGAAAATAAAAGTTAAAAAATAACTATAAATGGATTTTTAAAATTACTATTATTTTTTAAATTACTATTACTAAAAATTATTCAATTTTTAATGATAGTAATATAATTTTTAATAATAGTAAATTTTAATGACCACACCAACACAACATCTCTATATCAAAAATAATATTCTATCACAATTTGAAATAGGACCATAAATAACACAAAATAAAGACTGTAGAAGAATTTCTGGAAATAAAAAAATAATTATTTTTACTAATTTACTAATTTTTACTAATTTTTAATAATTAAAACGAAAATCAATTTTTTATTCGTATGAAATACTGCCTCACCAGACATTTCCTATAATAAGGGCCTTCAAACACATTGTGGGTGGTGATGATTATAAAAAAATTTGCATTTGGATCATGTTGATGTGGATGACATGTCACATTAATTCGAACTTTTTCATGTGGATCAATAATGCCATTTATGGCCTTACTTTAATAATTTTCCTTTTTCTTCCACCAATTGCAAAACTTACAGGTCTTCTTACAGTATTTTGAATTAAAATTGTTGATTGTTGGGGACGGTTAAATGGAGCATTAAAAAATAAACGATGGGCTGGGGCTGTTATGATGAACTTGCAGCGATATATTTTAATCTAAAAATTAATAATTAAAACAGATTTGAAATTTAGAAAAAGTTTAAGAAATTTTGTTTCTTTTTTATTTATGTTTTGTATGTGTTTTCTAATTTATAAATTATTTG